AGTGTTTTATCAATTGTTTTTATACAGTATATTAGTTCCTTAACAACAGCAATGTAGGTCAGCCAGTAAGTGACGAGTTTATCTTCCTTACACTCATTGATTATGGCATTTAGCACTTTTTGTAATATAATTAAAGTTCTTACTGAGTACAGGGAGTATTGCAAGATTTGGCATATACACATTCATTTATATGCAAGGACCCTTAACTCCATGAAATTCATTGTGGGAGTTGAATTCTGTCTTGTGTGCTTCAATGTATGAAATCATGTTTTCTGTGCCACTTTCCAACTTTCAGTACAGTTTTTCTGGTTCAAATGCGAGTGTGAATGTCGGTATTCCTATATAGTATATACTGTACATATCAAATTATTTGAGACACTAATCTACCCATCATGAAGACAAACCTGCCTACACGAGTTGTCATGTGGCTGCGATTTTAAATTTGGTAGACAAGTTTCCTTTGTCCTGGAGCAATAGTATGGCTTGTTGAATATTCCATACATTTGTATTTAAATATTATGTAGATAACTGATGGGTTTGTAATGAAACTAAAATACTGTATTGGAAATACATGAATACTGTACTGTATACAGTATTTTTAATAATGATGCTGTAGGGAATATTAGTTTGTGTAATCCTTACAAAATCTCCGGTGCAGCTGTGTAATGTGTGTACAGCTCCTCCCCGACTTAGGACGGGGTTAGGGACCCAAATCCAGGCCGTAAGTCGAAAATGCTTAAATAATACATAGAAAATTTAAAATGGATGTTTCTTATTCTTCTCAGCACCACAAAACTCTCACTTTTAAGCTTGCCAGCCATTTTAAAGTGAATTATAAACGAAAATTTTGTCTGTGTACTGAAGTTGGGACTCAAAAATACGTAATATGACAAAATTTTGGTGCGACCGAGGCAGATCATAAGTGCAGGTGGTCGTAAGTTGGGGAGGAGCTGTATAAGCAAAACAAAACACTCGAGTGTATTGTATAAATTTATATACATATGTCTAAATAGCTGGTGGGTTTGTATTAAAAATAGCAATTTAAAAATTATACATTATTTTAATTTTTTACTAAAATGCAACAGCGGGAATACTTGTTTGGTATACTGTACTGTACTTAATACTGTGAACTGGGGTGACTTCGAACATTATCTGAGTGAAAGTTGTGATGTTATATACAGTAGTTGCTGGATGAAATAAGCAAACAAAATTTACTTGGCAACAAAACACTTCTTTGATGTGTGTTTTCCATACAAGTATCTCTTTATAGTTATGTTGTAAGTGTTTAATGGTAATCGATGACTAACATTCCTTTTTTTATGGAAAATCAAATAAAGTACTGCAAAACTTTGTCAGAAACATAGCTCAATTCCAGAAGTGTAAATATTTTTCTTTATGTATCATTAAGACTTACGATACAGTACAGTAGACCCTTGCCATTTGCAAGGGATAGGTTCCAAGAAATGGCATGAATTGGTAAAACCGCAAATAGCAAGTTATACTACCTTAGTTCACTATTGTATACATGTACCAAACAACTGACCAGCTGCGGCTTGCAAGCTAGCCACCATCTGCAAATCATCAAAATTGCAAACTCGCGAATGTCATGGGTCTACTGTATTGCAAATCTGAGGCAACCTGGGGTGACTTCATACAGGTAAAAATTGATAAATAATTTTTGATAAATTCTATTCAGTACCAGCTATTGTATTATTTTTACTTTATTAATGTAAATTGCTGGCCATAAAAAATTATCTTCTGCTATTTAAACTGCTGTACCATATTTCTTTTTTCCAATGTACAGTATTGTGATAGACCATACATACTCTACTGTTCTCACCCATGTTGTACAGTAGCTAAAGTAACTATATGTGCAGGTGGGGGTCGATATGCTCCAAAATTTTACGTGTGACTAGTGACAGCCCTCATACACCAAAATTTATCCTCCGTGGTCTCGTATTGCTTCCCAAAAGTATGCACAGTTAGTTGTTTTTGCTACTGTACATTCAAATTGTACTGCTCAAAGTACAGTCACACACAGTAAACTAGCTAATAGTGTTCATAATACCAAATTTTTATAATTATTTCAATAAACTGTTCATGGTAAAGCTATAGATGAGGCATCTATATAGCTTTACCATGAACAGCTTATTGAAATTATTATAAAAAATTGGTATTGTGAACACTATTAGCTAGTTTACTGTGTGTGATTGGTAATTTGTGTAAAAAAGATAAATACATAAATAAATAAATAAAAGTTAATAAGTAAAAACTCCCAAGGAGTCTGAAGTAATCCTATGGCTGTCTGAAGTCCCCTCATGAATGTCCAGGAAGGCTTAAGTGATTCATTGGCAGTTTACAGTCAATTAAAATGGTTGTCCCAAGTCCCTTATGGCTGACGAAATTCACCCCAGATCAGGGGATGATTTTAGAAATCTGAAAATGTTTATATTCCAGAATATGTGTGCATAACATATGCTTTTAGTCTTTATTTCTTGAACAGCAGCGCATTTTACGCGCATTTGATTTAAGCGTTTTTGGAATAACGCGATTGTTCAATTAATACCAAAAGCTAATTTACATGCACCTATTTTTGAAATAACGCGCTCAAGACAGTTTAAATTTGCCTCACGTATTCACCTGGTCGCCTGACAGTGGAGTCACTTGTGATGCCTGGTGAGATGCTTGTAAGTTAATAACATAAAGTTGCAGTCATAACAACAACGATTTAATATTATTAATAATAATAATAATTATTATAATACTGTAATAATAAAGATTATTGCTACTAATGATGAAGATAATGACGACGTCCAGCAAACTTCCCGCGTATCGCTTTCTCAGTTCACACCAGCACTACCTTTTCTCTGTGCTCTCATTTATATTGTGTGTTTATCACGTACTTTTTTTAGTGTTAAACGCTGTTTTCCCCATTGAGCATGTCTGGAAAACGTCCATCTGCCTCCTCTGGGGTGTCTAAAGCTAAAAAGGCACGAAAAACAATCGCATTAGAAGTGAAATTAAATGTGATCACCCGCCTTCAGAGAGGAGAGCGTGTTTCGGATGTTGGCCTCGTGCTTGATTTAAGTGAGAACACTTTTTGTACCCTGTGTGGTATATGATGGTTCCCCTAACCTGTACCATTTACATGTGTTCCTATGGGAAAATTATGTTTAATTTATGCGCTTTTGGAGTAGGCGGTGGTTTTCAAGAACTTAACGCCCGCATAAACGAGAGGTGGGATATATATATATATATATGTATGTATGTATGTATGTATGTATGTATGTATGTATGTATGTATGTATGTATGTATGTATGTATGTATGTATGTATGTATGTATGTATGTATGTATGTATGTATGTATGTATGTATGTGCAAAGCACTTTATAGTCACAAAAAAATTAGCACAAATCACTTCAAAAACAAAATACAATGTGAACGTTAGTGGTGTCCTTGCAAGGTAGGGTATAAAAAACAAAAGAGAAACATCTATTATAAGTAACCAGAATTGATCCATGCAATTTTTAACATTTACATTATAAATCTTTTAATATAAATTTAAGATTTTGTGTGAACAAGAAAAACACAAGCACCTAACATCAGTGTTTAGCTGTCAGCTGTGTACAATTCAATTTTCCTTCTCTGGCAACACTGTGCTGCCACTGTAAGATATCAGCTAATGAGGCAGCTTTACATAGAGTTTAAAGTGTGTTTTTATCTTTTTTCTAGTAAATACTATTACTGCACCTTTTTTTGTTTAAACAACAATATAGAAAATTAGTAATTTGTAGATGTGAATGGGTGAATTTTGTTTAACTTCGGAGAAATAATTGGTGATAGCAATGGATCTAGGGCAATACAATATAGGTTATTAAATACGTCCATTTCTTACATTTAAATAGTTGTTCGTTTTGTGGGATTTTGTCTCTTGGAAACTTGAGGTTAGGAATTTCTGAAAATAATCCAAACTGATACATTACAAATTAATTATGGGGGTTTTGCTGGACATACAGTATTTGTTTAATAGTCATCTTTCACATTTTATAAATCACTTAATCTACCAATCCACTACTGGATGTAAGATGTGCTCTAGATTGTTTTTAGATGCTTTTCACTGTAGTATCCATCACAGTACAGTAGTTTTCTTCTCTGATTATACTCTGAATTCTTTGTTTTATATTATTTCTCCATCAATGAGTTGTAGATAGTTCAGTATATTTTTTTTTTTGGCAAAATTTTCTCTACCAGAATTCTTTAGGTAAAGATCTGGCCAGTACAACACTTCATCTTGTTTCCTTTGTGGTGTGTGGTTTATCAAAGCCAGCTTTGTCTGTGCCATATAATTGCCCTACTTGTAGTGGGTTTATCTTATGGATTTTCCTTCTCCCTAGCCTTTTCCTCTTAAGGTTACCCACAAGGCATTGATGGGTAAAGTCATTGCATTATCCCCTCCCAAGTGGCCTGTCAGCCAAGGCATTCAATCTCCACCTGCTGGGTTCAATTGGTGAGTGCCAAGGTGTATCACATGCTGGTGAGCCATGTACATTGCACTTCTGGGGCTTACAACCTGTTCTGAGATCCTCTGCAGATTAGCCTGGGTCCACAAAGGTCCATAAACACTCCTTGTTCATGTTTCTTCTTAATACTAACAGTCTTGGAACAGTAATACCATCATTGATGTACACCTTACCACCTGTACTTACAAGAGCTGGTAACCAGATGGTTATTCCATGTACACCTTTTCCTTTCTCCACTGATACATTTACTTTATTATCTAGCCATATTAATGACAAACATTTATGTAAGGTCATCATATTGATGAACACACTTCTAATTAGAGCAATAAAAAAATAATTTTATATTTGCATGGATGTGCTCAGTATTAGTGAATATGTTTCTAGTTTGTGTATGCTTTGTTATCAAAACATACTCCAGCTGGGAATTTATATATTGTTGATTTAATGAAAATTAAAAGTTCTCCTTGTTATCTCCCAAGGACAAGGATTCAGCTTCCTTGGCCTACTTTCAGAGTATGGCAGCAGCTCAACAAGCTCAGAAATTAGCCTACTCCCAGCAGGCCTATCAGCAACAGCAGACAGCACTTTATATGCAGCAGCAGCAGCAATTATATCTGCAACAGCTACAGGGATATTATCAACCTCACCCACCACCAGGGTCAGCTGCAGCAGCTGCAGGTTTCCAGCCTGGTCAAAATGTCTTGGTTATGGTAAGAATGTTTCATAGTTATGATCCCTTACTTATTCATGAGCCTACAGTTATGGATGCCTTATATTTTCTGTCCAGTGTATTTTATATTACATCACTATACAAGATTGTTTTTAATATTTTGAGATTCTCATTGATAATAGTATCCAAGCTTGATTTAGTGATGGCACCTATTTTAGAGTTATATACAGTATATCCCTTCAATATATAGTCTTCTTGGACTGCATCATTTACTATTCAAAGATTATATAATGTACTCTATCTCCTTTGCTGGGTATGTATGTTTAGCATGACTGTTGTGATTAAGTTGTCTGAAAGATATTAAACTTGGCTGAGAAAGTGAAGAAAACAATGTTAGAGGTGGGGAAGACCAGGTGACAGCAGGAATAGCCAGTATGTATTGAAATTTAACTTACCAGCAAATATTTGTGGCACTTAATCCTATCAGTATATTATTTTTATTATTTTTTTTAATTTGCATGAAAACAGTAAAAATAGGTTTTTTTTAAATACTGTATACTGTACAGTATTCCCTTAAAACTCAGTTTTAAAACTTGTGTTCCTTGGAAACTCACGGATTGCCATGGAAAATAAATAAAATAAATCTGAAGCTGTGTGGCAGGGATCAAGAGGAGTCAACACTGCAGGACAGTACAGAGCAACATATTTCCCAGGTCATAAGATGCACACTATAATTAACATGGTATATTTTGGAATTTTTTTTTTTTTGCAGATTTAATAGCCTACTTTACTGGCAAAGCCAAATCACTAGCTATATGCTATCATGTTTCTCACAACCACAACTATCACTGTGTGGACCTAATGTCCATACAGGGTTATTTCATGTTTGTTTATTTATTTGTTATTTCATATTTATTTTCTTTTTTTATGCATACATAATGTTGTCATACATGTGCATACATATAACTATTTATACTGGATATGTATTTTGCACACTCCTGGGACTGACATGAAAAACTCGCAGATTTTGCTTTCTCACAGGGTCCATTTTGCCTAATCCCAGAGAGCTTTTAAAGAATATTGTACTGTATTCTGGTTGTGAGCTGAATCAAGTGCCATAAATATTTATAAGCAAACTACAGGTGTTGACCATTTTACGATGGGGGTTGGGACTTGGTGATCATTCGTTAGTATATATGACTGAACTTGATTTTTTGTTCTTGGATATACTTGGATTTTTTAGTAGGTAAAGTATATACAGTAGTAATGTTTGGTGTTCTTTTTATGCAAGTTTAACATGTCTTGGGGGCCAAATTTTTCCCTGATAGGAACATAACTCCATTTATATAATGGATGTCTTTGGTTAATTTTTTTTTTTTTATCTAAGTGTATAAGCACCATGGAAAGAATTAAACTTGTTTGCTATTGTTTTGTGGATTTCAGTTATGTTTTTGTCTAAATTAGCATTAAATTTCATTATTAGGTGTCTGGCAGGGGTTTTGTTTAGTATGTTTTGAGTAACCTTTCTAGTATATTTTTTGGTACTGTACTATACCTTGTCATCCATAGGTTTTTAATGATCAGTTTTACACTGATTGCAGATGTTGAATATAATTGAGATTACATATTTAGGAACTGTATTTGAAAGCGAATAACCCCTGTAGCTACTATATGAGGAACCTTTTATTTACCCTGTCTTCTCTACATATGATGACCTTCATAAGTGATGCAGTGGATCAAGTGACTTGTGTACTGTGTCAACAAGTTTGTGGGTTTGACCCACATTCATGAAAACTAGTAAAAAACTAAGAGCACTAGTAGTCTCTTGTGACTCAACTGCAGCTACTAAAACAGTGGTAGCTGTGATGAGTCAGTTTCCAAGAGCTGAGAGTATACTCCTATTTTTCTGAATTTGATATCTCGGTAGCTTCCCATTTTCTAGATTGCTTAGATTGTTTGGTAGAAAGGCAGCAGAATTTAGCCCTCAGCCTCTGGCAACTGACTCATCAGATGCTGTGATGGATTAAGGAGAGATACTACTAGTTTTTTTTACTGGGTTTCTGAAATGTAGTCCCAGTTTCACAGTGGATGGTTTCTTGGAAGTGGCAACCCTGGGGTCAAACCCACCAAGATTTTGATATAGTACATAAGTAAGTCGATCCATGTTTGTTCATACTTTGAGACTTAAGAATCAATCCTTTATATTTCAGAATGGCTATGATTCCGGAGCTCGTTTTGATGGTATTGCTCAACCCAGTATCCCTCCACCTCCACCAGGCATTGCCCCTAATGCTGCTCAATTGGCTGGTGCATCTGGGGCCCAAGTGTCAATGACTCAGAAGAAGGGCTCCTTTTTAACTGGTGGTTCAGGAGGAGGATACACTTTCTTTTAGATGAGAATTTGAGTTCCATTTTTTCTCTCTGGAGATGTACTGTTTCATATCTTAGTTTACCTTTCACAAGGCAAATGAGAAGCAGGGTTGCAAAATTTTTGATGTAATAGTATCTACAATGTTAATGGTGAATATTTCAGTATTTTGTTTGTTTACCTGAAGTGCAGGGAGTGTATTTTAAAGTAAATATGACCAGTTTTTAATACACCATGACTAAATTGTTTAAATAGCATAAAAACTACAAATATTGAATTTAAAAAAGAACACCCTTTGGAAATAAGAAATATACTCAGATTGGCAAAATTATTGTTTTTCTATGATTTAAAGTAGTGTGGAGCAAGCCTGCATCTTACACTGTATACATCAGTACTGGGTTATCAGGTTAATTTTATAAATGTCTCCCCTTCTGGATCCCATAGGGATTAAAGCAGTCAGCCTTCTAGACACTGATTTGGTTAACCTGCATGCATATTTGTTGTAGAGTAAATTGAGGTGGTTTACATAATGGTCCGAATAGTATTGAAGTACCCTGAGAATATCTTACGTGAGATCTGCTGTTACAGAATCAGGGTCTGTGGCATGCTGTGTTGTAAACATCGTGAACTAAGAAGGGAAAACAGAGTTTGAGCAATATTTGTACCTTTAATATCTTTAAAAAATAATTGTGATTTATTTTTTTTTGAATATACAGTATTGCATAAGTATAAGTTTTTATTTTCTTCTTACCATCTATATTTTGTTAAAATTTTCCAGGCAGAAATTATGCTTTCACCTATGCAGTGCAGCACATAAATTAACCACACTCATCTCCTTATATTGTTAAATTTATTTCACATTTGTCTTTTTTAACAGCAAAATCTTAGTATGGACTTTTCATTCTACCAGGCTAGGATACAGTTGTTTGATTGGTCGAGTAATGATCATAGTAATATTTTTCAAGATTTCTTCTTTACTGTAATAGATATTGATTATTCAGAATGCAGACCCATATTTTCATAAATCTCTCTTCCCTGAAGGTATGAATTGAAGTTGTGTTTCTTTGAAAGGAATATGCACACTGAATCTGATCTTCCCAAACCAATCAGTTCATCCATTAGTGTCATGTATATTATGTTGAAAATTAACTGCTCATTTGAGGAATTTAGACAATTTTAGGTCATTTTCCTGTTCAAAAAAAAAAATATATATACTTTGTTGAAGGAACTTTAATTAAATTTTATAAAAGGAGTCCTCAATTTTCTACTATACTTGGGGAGATGGTACATAGCAGCCTTTGTTTCATGAAGATAATAAAATGTCTTGGCAGTTTTTACTATTTTTCTGTGGGTTAGAATTCTCATTTTTCACACCCAGGGTTTAAATACCAACACACATACATATTCAATAATATGACAATGATACATACTAATCATGAAGTTGTATGTATGTATTTTTGTATATACATGTATTATGTATGTAAATATACTAGGAAGTGATAGCTACTAACTATCATTCCATTTATTTTAGGGATTCTCTAGTCCAAGAAAAGCACATGTTGTTGTGGACCTTTCAAGAATCCCTACTCAATTCTGGTCAGGGTGCTCTTGTAAAATGGAGTGACGTGTGAAGTACGTGTGCCAGTGACCATGAAGATTGAATTATTTGTTGTATTTACTTGCGTGTGTGTGAACATTGCATTGAATATTAGCCCAGTTGTATTGACTAGGATGTGCGTGTGGTTACCATATTGTAAAGAGTGATTAGAGAAATTTTTAAGACGGAGGTTATATCCTCTGTTGTTATATAGCTATTCCTTAGTACATGAGTAATGGGAATTTTGTATGCAATGGCATTATTATTCCTGTTTGTATTAATCACTGCTAACTTGATGTATTCTTACTAATTAATAGTTTTGAATCTAAGAAATGTACTATAATCAATAGATATTGTAATTGTACGGTAATTCTTATGAACAATAAAAGATTGACAGAAATGGTTACTTTCTACAGTTAATAAAAACCCATCCCCTTATAATACATAATTTAACAATAGAGAACATTCCTTGAACAGTAAATTGTTTATTTATGGAAGGCTGTAAGTCCTCCAGCAGCTCCCAACCTGGTGCTCCCTGAGTCTGAGATACCTGCAATGATTAAGCATTATAGAAGAACACTGCCAGACTATCAGAAAGCATAGTAGTAGTCACAAGCAACAGGTGGGAATGCTTGTTATAAACTGTATTAAAGATGTAAGTTTGGGATTTCACAAACAAATTGATTTGTGTTTGCAAATGTATTATATTTCTTTAACTGTATTAATATATTTCACTTACCTGGCAGAAATATCCCAATACAGTTGTTGGACAGGTCTCATTGTTGTGGACATATAATCCACAATTCGTAGGCCCAATTTAAATTTCCCAGGTTTTATATTGCCTGAGCATCTTTCTGGAGGTTTGTGGCAACTGCCCTACAGTCTGGGCCCACCAAACCTCACCCTCGCCCTGCACACCCCACCCTCCCCTCGCCCTGCACACCCCTCCCAACCTTTACCCTGCACACCCCCCACTACCTCGCCCTGCACACTGCACACCCCCCCACACTACCCTCGCCCTGCACACCACACACCCCCCACTCACTGCTCTGCACACCCCTCCCCACCTTCACCCCAATAACTCCCCCACCACTGGGTCCTGGCACACCACACACACACCGCACCCACCCTGCCTTGCACACCAACTCTCCCCACACCACACCCCACCCTGTCCTGGGTACACCACACCCACCTCGTCCTGCACACCACACACCCCACCCCACCTCACCCCACACCACATTCCCCACCCTGCCCCTGCACACACCACACACCCCACCCCTCGTCCCACACCCCAATCTCCCCACCCTGCACACCACACACCACACCCCACCCGCCCTGTATACCACACCCCACCCTCGTCTCTATACCACACCCCACCCTCCACACCCCCTCCACCCCACCTCCTGCCCACCCCATTCCCCATCCCTCTCCACACCCCACCCCACCCCTGGCTCCACTTAATCTCCCTCCACAATTCTGCCCCATCTGCCTGACCTGCCTCCTCTCCACGCCCCACCCTCAGCTCCCAAGAGGAGTACTTCAATCTGCCCCACCCTCCCCACCTCTGCCCACCCCCACCCTCCCCACCCTCCATGGCCCCACCCACCCTCCACACCTCACTCCATCCACACCTCCCCACACCTCCACACCCCACCTTTGCGTGCGCGTGTGGGGTATGGAGGTCGAAGGTGAGGTGTGGAGGTTGAGGGCACTCGACTCCTGGCTCCACCCGCCCTTTCACCCTCCACCCACCCTTTCACCCTCCAAACACCCCTTTTCCCCCACACCACCCTTGTCCCTACACACCACCATAAATTTCTTTTGAGAATCCGAACTTACGAGAAAAAAGTGACTACGATCTTTTGAAAATTCGTACTTGCGATAAAAAACTAACTTAGATCTTTTGAGAATCGGAACTTACAACAAAAACTGACTAATGACCTTTTGAGAATCGGAACTTACGAGAAAAAATTGACTTACGATCTTTTGAGAATCGGACCTGACGAGAAAAAACCTGACCGATCTTTTCAGAATCGAAACTTACGAGAAAAACTGAAGAGGGATGGGGTATGGAGGGCGCGTGTGAGCTTTGGAGGGCGAGGGTGGGGTGTGGAGGTTAACTGCTGGGTGGTGTAGGGTGAGGTGTGGAAGACAAGGGAGGGGTGTGGGATGTGGAGGGCGACGGTGGGGTGTGGAGGTTAACGGCTGGGTGGTGTAGGGTGAGGTGTGGAAGACAAGGGAGGGGTGTGGGATGTGGAGGGCGAGGGTGGGGTGTGGAGGTTAACTGCTGGGTGGTGTAGGGTGAGGTGTGGAAGACAAGGGAGGGGTGTGGGATGTGGAGGGCGACGGTGGGATGTGGAGGGTAAGGTTGGGGTGGGGTGTGGTGTGCGAGGGTGGAGGGCGAGAGTTGGGTGTGGAGGGTAAGGGCTCGATTGTGGAGGGCGAAGGTTAGATGTTCTGGACCACATTTGAGTTTTAGTATTTGGGTAATACTCAGAGTGTGAAGAGGGACTGTTGGGTAGGTTAGTATCAGTATGATTAATAATTTGACATAAGTGTTGTTTTATATCCTCAGGCAGGGCAATGGAGTGGTCTAGCTTTTATCATTTCTCTTTGCTGTTTCCATTCCCTTGTGGAAATGGTGGTAGTCTGTTGTGGATATGTTCAGGACCAGAAGACTAACTCTGCTGCTATATTCCATCTTGGTATTATTGATTTCTACTGTAGTGGTTAAGTTTTCCTTCTGTCATTCTGGGGAGACTGGTTTGGATTTTCCAGTTGCTGTCGACTCTTTTTTCCCCCCCTTGGTGTGTTCGACCTTTAGTGCACCTGATTTACCTTGGTGTTTTGTTATTTGAGTAATATCATCTGCCAATAATAATAATAATAATAGTACTACTAATAATAAAATAATAATAATAATAGGTTTATCAACAAATACAGAAGCCTTAAGCTGAATTTATACAGATGAAATAAGTTGTACATATATAATAATATACAATGACAAGGTGGTTAAGTTTATTTAACAGGGAATTTCAGCAGTTACAGTACAAAAGTGAGAATGACAAGAAGTGAACACAGGTTAACTACGACTTGTTGATAATTGTTACTTTGGTTATAATTTGGCTGTTCTATAGTAATCGGTACGTGGTCGTATGGGCTGGGTGCGGTTGTGTGTGTGTGTGCGCGTGATCATGAATCTTCCACATTAGCTCCGGACCTCCGAGAGAGAGAGAGAGAGAGAGAGAGGGTGGAGTGGTTGTGAGAGGGAGGCTGTTTAAAGGAGGCAGACTATAATATTTTCCTCGTACACCTTTCTCAACAATGTCGGATAACGTGTTTCTGAATGTTTAAACGCTACTACTACTAATACCACTATGTACTACTACTACTAATAATTATAAATGTTTACATTTCTACTAAGAAATGAGGATTCAGGACCCCCGGGGTGGTTTATAATGACTCACTCCTGGCCAGGCAGGACGTGATGCAAGAGCGCACCTTGTACCTCAACTCCCCCCACCCCCCCTCCCTCTCCGCTTCTCTCCCAGACCATCACCTCCCTCCCACCCCTCTCCCATCCCCGTCGCTCCCCTCCTACCCCTCTCCCTGCGTCGTCACCCCTCTCCCCCTTCCCCCAACGACACATTCATGTCCTCGCTGGCTCGCTTGCATACTGTATATACCAGACGCAGCACCAACAGTGGCACACACGCTCATTCGCCGTTGTGCCGGCGTGAGGCCAAGAACTGCCACAGTGACTTAGTGATTAGAATTCTCTCAATAAATGAAGAAAAAGTGATTATAATATTTACTAAGTGTTAATTTGTTGTGATGTATTAGTGACTACGATAGTGCAATACCCTTGATTTGTGGTAGTTGTTGTAATAGGTATTGTATACAGTGATATATTGTGGAAAAACAGATAGACATAGATAACAAGTGTTGGACTTACTGTACGTTTATCTATTTATAAAAGCCGATAAAGGCGTTATCAGTAAGGTGAGCTGCAGGTAGCTCTTAACGTGCAATAATACAGGTGCACAAGTCGACGCCTTCAGCTAGTCGTGGGTGTTGTTAAGTGTTTTGACAGTAACAACGAGTTTTCTAGGGGCTGCCCTCAGAGGTGTACATAGTGGAAAGCTCATCCAAACGTGAGCCCCTTGTCAGCCGAGTCCACCACTTCTGTGAAAGTAAAAAAGGTATTAGTCGACGTTTACAAAATGGTTTAGGATACCAAAGCATAAAAAGGGGGCAGGTTTTCTAAGGTGCTGATAACTCTTGAAACATAGAAACCATCGCAAAGGAAGTTTTACAAAAATTAAATCGATCCTAAGTATCTCCAAATACAGTTAGCAAAAATATATTTAAGCATTACTGTAAAAACTCGACGAAAGTGAAGTTTATTTACATCAGTATACCATTATATAGTCGACAGAGCAGCCAATTTATAGGAATCATCAAATCATAAGCACATGTAAGAATCCTTCACCACTGCACGAATCCTCCAGCAGATTAGCTCCAGAGAAATCTTCAGAAACAGCATGGCGTTTGCACAAATCCCTGGGATGACTTATCCAAACCCGAGTAACGACGTCGACGCCTGGATTGCCCAGTTGAAGAGGAGGGAAACGCTAAGCCTACGTCAGGTGGAGAGTTTGTGTTCTAAGGTGCGTGGGTCCTACTTGCTTGATGCAACGTGTTGTGTTCCGTGCATTCCACTTGCCTCACCTCACGCCTGTTCTGTTTAATGTCTGTGTGAATTGGGGTTGGGGGTGCAGAGTGAGGGTGTATGCTGCTGAGCATTTTATTTCTTTGCGTGTGCGTGTTTTGTATATACGAATCTCACTGTTTTGCTAACCATGATAGGGTAAATGTGTGTGTGTGTGTGTGTGTGTTAAAACTCGTCAGAGGGATGACTGCTATACTTGTGTTTGGGATGATAGTCAAACTAAACAAGAGCTGCAAAGATTCTGGTGTCAAATATGCAAATTAGGTAGGTAATATGCATTTATTTCCATTGTCTTATTTTAGAGAACTTTAATGCAATAACTTCAGTTACCGTCCTTTCAATTTTCGAGAAATCTGGCGAAGAGGCTGGCAATCCCCGACTTTAAAAGCTTTTTAGCGCAATAACTCGACCATCGATCGTATGATTTCATTAAACTTGGTGCCAATGGAGAATAGACCGCCCAGCTGCAGTTGAACGTTCATAAAGTAACTAATTAAATTGTTTAATATATATATATATATATATATATATATATATATATATATATATATATATATATATATATATATATATATATATATATATATATATATATATATATAATCAGTTTAATATGGACACGTTAAATCATGCACTAGGTTTTTATTTCAACTTTTCTGAATCAAAATAATGCTTTAGCATATTGATTTGATGTTACTGGCTCCGCCACGCGTTTTTTTTGTCACCAGACTATTGATAAATAATTTATAATTTATCTTAGCGATATGAATAACGTAATATATCATATAAATACGTGATTACCGTGTACTTTTTTTTACTTTGTTTTTATATTTCCTCCTAAACGGAGGTTATTTTTCATCTTATTAAGTTCATATATTTCTTTAGTGAATTGTTTAAAACTAGAAATATATAGTACTAATTATTTCCGTTACTTGATACAGTACTTATTTATATTTACTCTGATCTACTGCGAGATAGAGGCAAGCAGAGAGCCGTATTACTAATTTTATTTTTAATGTCCAATGACGTAATTATTAACCTAATTACGAGCTTAAAGATCTCTGTTGTCCAAGTGCAATAATACATTATAGCATCAGCATCAAGACAGAGATGTTTATCACAACTTTTTAATTGTTGATGACCAGTGTATTTACTACAGTACATACAGTAGTGTAGTGTGCGTGCAGTAGAATATTGTAGCCTCAAGGCAATAGTTGCTGAAATCCGGTAATATATTATAGAATAAGTATGTTAATATGCATTATTTATAAATTAATAACATGTCAGTTAATAATTACTGATAGTAATTTAATTGACCTTGGTAGTGCGTACAGGATACCTAAATTATTAAAACACACAAATATATAGAAGCAACAACTTTGTGTATCTTAAATTTGTTTTTCTTACTACTCAAACCTTAAGTTCACCAACGAACCTAAATATAGTCTGAATATTTTGAATAGTCCCTGATATTTCCACAATAATTTACCCGAGTGTCTTCTGGCGACTAGGTGAGCGAGGTGTTAACTGAGGAAAGCAACGTGGTGGAGGTGTCGTCGCCTGTGACCGTGTGTGGCGACCTTCACGGCCAGTTCTACGACCTCATGGAGCTTTTCACCATATCCGGGGAACCTCCGGAAACCAATTACCTCTTCATGGGCGACTACGTTGATCGAGGTTACTTCTCCGTCCAAGTTGTGTCACTCCTGCTAGCGCTGAAGGTGAGTGTGGTGTTGTTCCTTGTTTGTCCCTCACTACTCCCCACTGTCTCTGCCTATTTTTTCCTCTCCCTTTCTACTCCCCTCTATCACGTGTTGTCCCCCACGAATATTACTAGGCCTGAAGGAGTTATTAAAAACAAAATTGCTACCTTCACTCTTAATGTAATCCTTATCCAGTTATTATTCACTTTCACTTAAGGAGTAATTTGCGTTGTTTCGATAAGACTTCTTCACATTGCGGCTATCTAGATGTTATCTCTCTAAACTCTTTAGCTGTTGATGACTAGTGTTTGTGTTCACCTAGAACACGTGCTTATAGACATTAGTTGTTGAAGCCCAGTAATATATTATAACATCAACTATCTGTAAATACTTATACAATAGTTTGTTTTCTGTGCAGCTCCGGTATCCGCAGCGGGTGACTCTACTCCGAGGTAACCACGAGTCAAGGCTTACCACTCAAGTCTATGGTTTCTATGATGAGTGCTTCGCCACTTACCAAAGTGGCGAAGCCTGGAAGTACTTCATGGAGGTATTTGACTGCCTCCCTCTCACGGCTCTCGTCGATGACAAGATTCTCTGTATGCATGGCGGCCTCTCGCCTTCCCTCGACTCCGTTGACCAGATCCGAGTCCTGGACAGATTCCAAGAGCTGCCTCACGAAGGCGCCATGAGCGATTTATTATGGTCAGACCCAGACGACTCTGGACGAAGGTTAGGCTGGAGGGACAACGCCAGGGGCGCTGGGTACATGTGGGGCTCCGACGTCTCCCACGACTTTACCTATAGTAAGTACAACAGTCTGCGTAACTAGACTGAGATACACTTATGCCGTATTGTTGTCTGGTTTATAGTACACTAGTTCCCACATGTATCTTTACGAAGAAGTCCGATGAATTTCAAAATGAGCACCGCCGACTCCTGTTGTCTTGGTGGTGTTGTAAAAATCTTTTGTTCGTGGTGTAATATTGTCTCACACAAAATCGTAAAGATATATTTTGGAGCGATTATACATATATTTTAAGTATAGTGTATGACTAGTATCTAAGTGCAGTAATTACCGCTCTCTAACTCAATTTTCTAGGTGTGTGGATGATTTGCTATCGAAGCACTGTTGTTGTGTGTTAATTTATTTACAATACAGAGTTTTTAAGATTTAGTTCATATACGACTAAACTCTACAGTAATGCAATAGAATTTCCATATAAAAACTACACGCCTACTAGAACGTACTATTTTGTAAATGTAAATGCTATTGCTAACTTCTTTCACGAACTTTATTGAGACAGTTTTAACTATTTTGCTAAAGCGTCTCTTACATAGAGTTAAATGTATAATAGAGGGAAGCTTCTTTTGGAAACAGGTTTAATGTGTCTCTCTTAATATTTAAGTGCTGGTGACTAGTGTACCTGGAGTAACAGAGTAAAGACCATCGTAGTTGAAGCTCAGTATCACTTTAAAACACCAACAATTAACGGAGAGAGTGTTATTTAGTTAATATTAAATTGTTGATGACTTGTATAAGTACCAAACTAGAATACTAGCTGAAAGACCTTGGTTGTTGAAGTGCAGTAAACATTAAAATATCAATATAGTCACTTCTCTGTTTTATGAGAAAAAGGACAGGTGCTTAATAAACCTCGTAATTAAAACTACACAAATCTAAACATGAGCAACGACTTCCCTGTAAAAACTGCGAAGCTTTAGTTACTGTCAGTGATCTGATGCGGAATGGCGAGAGCACGAACAACACCGCCCTTAAGATGTAGGGAAAACTAGGATCAATACCCAGAGGTCACCATCACCTTCAAGATTTTAGTGATGGGCTTCACAGATACATCAGCTTTATCACTGTCTTCTAGTCATCTACTAAACGTCCTGATTGTCTTGAGAGGATCGTTATTATCTTCTCAAGAGATGTTTAACAACAACAAAACGTCAGGGCCACATACCGCTCGTCACGGTGCTCTTGACAGTCATGCGCAGGGACCAGCACAACACGCGCCTCAATACTGTATCTGGGTCATCAGGACACCTTGTGCATGACCACGACCCATTATAATACACACAGCACGATACCGAGATATACATATCAGCAGAACCATACAAACACATGATATGTATGCTTTACTAGCATCTCAATTTTATAAAATCAATTAAATTAATTTACACCTTAAGAGCATAAAAGTATAATACACGTTATCAATGATTCAGTCTTGTGCCCAACATATTCTTTATATCAGTGTCACAGCGGAACAGGTAACACTGATCGTGCTTGGATAGACTGTCAACTTGCCACGTGTATGGTAATCAACAGGATAAACGCAACTGCTAAAGTTCCTCCAGTTTGTCTGCAAACATGCTCACTAATATGGCAAGTCTGAGTCTGCGAGACGAGGGTTGTTCCCGTGCCACTAAATCTACACACAAATTATATATGTCCATTATTGTCCAGTGTTACTGATCGCAGTATTCATAAGCATGGCCATGATAAGAATTTACTGAATAAGTATTACACCATTATCACCGTAACACATGTGATTCTTGAATATTTAATGTTATTCTGGGCTCTGTTTTATTTTCAATAAGTTTAAACCTTTGCTTGTCTCCAAATTTTAGCGTGACCCCCTGGTGCAGCAATGATCTCATACAACTGACTTACACCAAAAGAAGTCGCTCGTCAGTCTTAGTACTGTGTACAGTTAACCCTCTGGAGAATCTACTAACACCAGACCTATTTCTTTCCTTGCAGGTAATAACTTAGAGTTTGTCTCGCGGGCCCACCAGGTGCAGGACGCAGGCTACAACTGGTTCCACGACGGCAAGGTCATTACCATCTTCTCGGCGCCCAACTACTGCTACCGAGTTGGCAACCTGGCAGGATACATGACTGTAGAGGACGGCACGTATAATTGGTGAGTTGTGAATCTACAAAAAAAAAGTTTGTAATGTATGAGTATGACATGTAGCTGAGCACTGAGGTCACACGTCAGTTCATTAGCCTATCTTACATGTCGACTCTCGTTGAAGAGGAAATCATTTCATGACATAGAAACAATTCTGCAGTAGTAGAAAGTATCAAGATGAATGGGGTACGCAGATGATGGTCTTGTTCTTTCATGTAAATTACAGCACGAGAAGTTGTTTTCTCCACATCTGGCGACACTTAAAGAAGTATCGTTTTCTCTCTGCATCAGGCAAGGGTTTTAGGATTTTTGTCTGTACACGATTATGCAATAAACCGAGATACTGTACGGTATATGTTATTTTAGAACTTAAGATAGCTTGTGGGTTGATAGATGCAGAACTGGTCGCTTTGTAGTACAGTAACACTGATGAGTTCTCTCCCCTCCTGCCAGATTCTACTACCTTAAGAAAAAGCGGAATCATTAAAGCGTTGATTAGTTATAAATCACTGAGAAATATCCTTAATTCTCTAATTGCTGTTGACCAATACATTTACTAGTCTAGAATACATGCTTAAGGACCTTAGTTGATGAATACAGTAATACATTGCAACATCAACATCTCGAACAGTTACTATGTTTTCCTGTCACTCAAACAAGCTCAGCACAACGATGCATCACAAATCTCTAGTGAGTCGGTATTATATGCACAGTATTTGTATACATAGATTTGTATAAACTCTAGTGTTTTCTTTGTAAGATCGCATAGCCTCCGTATTTTACATTAGGAAATGGCAGATGCTCACTTAATCTCAAAAGAAAAGAGAAATGGTTTTGAGGAATTGGATTTAGTGGCGACAGGGACATAGAGTTTCCGCTCTTGTGGGGAGAGTTCTTCTTTGTCTCTCAACGATTTTTGAAGTGTCGTCCCTCAAGTTATGTGAAAGTACTCCTGTAAACATAAATAGTTCCTTACTTTTCGACGAAAGGGATGTTTTATTGAAGCAACTGCAATCATTCGTGATCATAATAAAGAAATAAAAGCAAAATAACTTTCTTTGTCGTTCATTGCTTCAGTTCATGCACTAGTACTTGTGGCTACTAATTTATTCTACATTAATAGAGCTGTCAGTGGAAGGATATTATTTTTCTAAAAGATTATTATTATGTATATTAAACAATAAATTAATGCCAACGAGCCTACAAGTTGGAAGTATGTGAAGTTATAATGTATGGTTGTGTATAATGGTCTTTAAGTGCGAAACCTTAGTAAATATACGATTCATCAAGTATTGAGAATTAAAGAGATGTATCTTTAATCGGAGGAATAAATTTTTGTAAATATTGTTATGGATGTTACCGAGTCATTTCGTTCTGAAGTTCTTTGATAAAAACCTGTAAATGTCTGTGTTTGAAATAAAATGTTCCCGAAAAGAAATTTATCGTTAAAATTAATTTGGTCCCAGGAATGATATCAATCAACTTCTATAAGTTGTTATAAATGTATTACATTTTCCCTTCACCTCAGCTCGCTTAAAATAAGTAAATAACGCACGGTACAGAGGCCTTGTATACTTTGTAGCTAAAAATACTTGTACATGTATTACCAAAACGAGTCATTGTTTCTATTTGTACGGCAAAATGTTTCTTTGAGTGATAACTGATCCACTGTAGTACTGTACAAACACGACCGACCATAGTTGTTTTTCGTTTAAAAGGTATACAGTATGTGGATCTACATGATATATATATATATATATATATATATATATATATATATATATATATATATATATATATATATATATATATATATGTATATATATATATATATATATATATATATATATATATATATATATATATATATATATATATATATATATATATATATATTCTCGTATTATTTGTTTCTGATACTGGTACAGTTTTACAATCACTTACAGTATATTTACAAATCTGATAGTAAAAATTTTAATTGGTATTTTTTTTTTCAGCTACACGTTCGAGGCAGCACCAAGAGAATTTTCTGCACCGATCGCAAAGACTATGAACTCATATTTCTGTTAACTGTGTTATCCCTTATTTACATTTTTACATTAATGGCCAACTCAAAACTTACATTACCTTCTTAAGGGCAAAAATTAGGAATCGCGGGTCGATTCTGGTATTTGTTCAATTAAGAATCATTGTATTTGTTCAGTTGAGTGTTGTTTAATAAGAATGATTGCGAGTATATAAAATGTGAAATTGTAAAAAAAAAAAAAACTAGTTGTACTGTACATCAGAACCTCGATGAGAAGTGACCTTACTGGGGGAGTTTATTAGTGTACATTTCTCCGTAGACAACTTGGCATTTTTCTTAAGCTAGAATGAACTGTAACTTATTCGCCACAACCTTCCCTCAGATAAGAGGTCGAATCACGACAATCAAGTGATCACTGTAATCAATCCAAGCCTTCTGTATCCCGAGAAGTAAATATTCAAGATTACAACTTGCATTCACCGTAACCACTGCCAGTGTTTACTTACGCCAAATTGAATGTTATAACCTATGACTTTTCTGATTTTGGGATAATGAAGTCTTTAGTCACATCTAAGTAAAAAAAAAAAAAAAAAAACTCCATCCGCAACCAAAGACTTTCCTGTTATTCCACTAGACGGTCTATAAGGTGCTCCCAGGAAGGTCACTCTTATGGTTTACAAACTGTGAACAATAAAGAATCACACGTATACTCGACAAACTGTGATATTACTAAGTGCCAGTCAGTTTATACATCAAAAAGCGAAGTTACAAATTGTTAAAGATTACGCTACTTCTGTTTATATTGCCTTTGTTAAATTATGTTATCTATCTAGAGTCACCGATTTATTTATGTGTATTTATCTATTTACCTATACAAGCCTACCTGTAATCCCGCAATGATTTATGTATTTTCCCTTATGTTTATCTATTCTTCTCCGCCTATAAAAATTTCTAATTAAATCAATCACCTTTTTTTTTGCTCATCCATGTCTATCTTTCCATCTATCCATCCGTCCATCTGTCTAATTATCTAGTTATTTGCCTTTTTTGTAATCGCTCTTACAGAATCTATCAAACCACTGTGATATGTACCCGAGAGTGAGGGAGGACCGTAACAGGTGATAATACCAAATGATAAATATTTCAAAGTCATCTCTTGGACACTATCTGTAGAAGGTCTGAGAGGTGAGTTACTTATGTTCTATGTTCCAATAAAACATTACTTTGAGACTTTCCTCTTTTAATTTTACCATAGATTTTTCCGAAAGATTTCACCCTTTTGTCACGAAATGCAACAGGAATTAATGATGCAACAACTACAAGGTGATTTAGGAAAAATCTAATATAAGTACAAAATATAAGGCATAGTTAATGCTTCTTTTTTTCATTAGTTATTTCAATGGCGTTTGTAAATATAAGTGCTTCAACTGAGACATTAATTAATTAAGTTTCGGTTTTATATAACAAGACAGTGTTAAATTAAGCTTAATCTGTATAATTATAATGAATAAATAACTCATCACAACTACAGCTACTGTACATTAATGGTGACCCGAGGAGGAGAGGGGACAGACCCAGGCCTCAGGTGACATGTGACATTATCAGTTCAAATTCCTCCCTTGTCACCCAGGTGGTAAGACCTGCCCCAGAGACTCTCGACCTTGAAGAACCTGAATTTAATACTGCACTGTGTGATAACTGTTTTTAAAAGCTCAAAGATATCAGCGAGTTAAAGTATGTTATGTACACACACACACGAACACACACACACGCACACCTTAACCACAGACTGCATTCAACAGAAGTCAGAAATTTGTATGTATGAGTATAATTTCATTAATTTATCATTCTTACGTATGTTTTTTATATTAGGAGAGTAAGGTGAACTGTGTGAGAGGACGTTGCCTCACCTCTGCTGGAATAGGCAGTGTGTGATAGAATTACGTGAGTTCAAATGATTAGGTAAGCTTATGTTAAGGACTATGATACAGGTTCTTTCAGAGGAGGTAAGGCGAAAGGTATTTTAGGGCGATTTTATAGTAATCATTTGCCTAAGTAGGTAAGATATGGCGATATTAGCAAAGATAAAAAATCCATCTTGGTAATGTTGACTAACCTCGCAAGATAGTGTGGGGACCGCTTCCAGGTCAGGGGGGAGGTGTTATGATGGGTAAGAAATGAATGCCTGTGATAGGGGAGGTGAGTCAGGCTGTTTTCATGGGCTTCATTACAGTAGATGTATAAAACAGATTAAGGAATACTGAACAGTCTCTTTTCTCTTTCTCGTATGTTTTCAAAGACGTTCAGGGTAGAATCTCATTCCTAACGATACCATCATTACTGGCACTGTGATTATGACTACTAATACTGTATCATCATCTCCATCATAACACTGTCATTGTATATCATCATCATCAAACATTACTTAACGTAAAACAACATTATCATAACTCGTGACAGCGAATAAACTCATAACCACAAACCCACGTCATGCGTTGATAACATCAGACCAACAACATTTATAGATATAATGAACAATAACAATGACATCACCAATACAATTTTTTTGGAGACTTGTGCTCGGCGTTTTGTGTTAAAATGATACAATGAAACGATTACAAATCAACTCGAGGCAAAATTCCTCAGATACAAGTAAAAGTGGGACCCATTGGCATGACTGCCCTTTAAGGATAGTGAAGATACAGGTGTGCCGTTTAGTTACGGAGACAATTCTAACTCAGGTGATCAAGCCCGTAAAGGATATAGGTCAGTAACTAAATTGGTGTGAGTGAACTGATAGTTTGCTGTGAAGGCAGAGCCCCAATGTTGAAGGATTTTCCCCAGATTATTAGTAGAGCCTCTCCAGTAAGTTTGTGGTGTCGCCCCCGTGTCTGACGAGGCAGCTCCAACACTTATATTACACATCCCAGGAACCTGAGAGCAAGTGGTAAGAGTTTTATGTTTCTCTGATATGAATTTCTACTAAATTTGTTCTTAAATTATTCCTTGTTTCATAGTTAATTAGCGGGATCACACACACACTAATAATGATCGTCTTACCTAATAGTGAAACAACAATGGAGGTGGGTCGAACATTACCTTGATCCCAATCCACCTGATACAATACTGTGTTATCATCTGTTATCAGGACCCTCGCTCACGTCACCTGACCCATGCTATCAACATATCAGTTATATTTTTATTATTTCTGGTATTTATTTATCTTCGATTTAAAGTACAGTTCATAACAGTTGACATAAAACCCAGATATATTACTAGACACGACTCCCTCTCATAAAAGATAAAACAAAGTAAAAATTCTCAATCGGTCATAGCTTACTGTTTTAATTTGGGAAACATATGGCACTTGACACACTTCTTTTGGGTGCTTTATAATACAAACTATCACGAAATATATCTAGTGTGAATAAAGTATTTATTGAAAAAGAATATATTTAACGTTTATGAGAGAGAGAAGTCAATTATGTGTTTTTTATGCGTTTTTATGACTAGTTAAACATGATAACTCATATATGCCATTCCCCTTATCTTGAACAACCTCGAGTCTTACACGGTTAAGATATTCACTTCTACGAAACAACTACAGTAATATACGTTCATGCTAATACAAGGTTAATTGTTTAAATGTTGCGGTCGATTTTAAACTTTTAATTGACATTTACGTTATCGTTTACTACTTTTAAAATACCGTAAACACAGCGATCCTAACCTAACCTAACTTACCGAATCTAATATAAAAGAGTGAAGTTAGGTAAAGATGAGTTAGTATAGTTTGTTTGACTTATTTTAAAAGAAGTGCATGACACCTCAGCAGCCATGACGGAAATGAGCCCTGATACTGTTCTTCATGTTTACGAATTAAAAGTTTTATCGGCCAGAGCTGAAAACTGTGGTGGTGTAATCGAAAACACTCTTCCGACATCTGGATGGTGAAATCGGGATACAATTTTTAAATAGATGTGAGCGGTAACACGTCAGGTCATGCTGTTCAATTTATTGTTGAGGCCATTCTGGGTTCATACTTATTTGGGTAAATATTCCGTAGTGACCATTCACGGAAATGACTTAAAAATAAAAGATTATATAGTGTTTTTCACTGTTTCACGCGAATATGACCTTTATTTCCGGTGAAATTGAGTACTTTTGTAAATGAACCCCCTTCCCCAATTACAAACATTGTGGCTTAAAACATGCAAAACGGCTCTAAATTATAAGTATACCTGTCTAACTTAACTTAACCAGAGAAACCAGAGGGACCTGACTCGATAAACTTCCAGGTGAAGACTCTACACCACACTCTCCATAGCATACACTGACAATGTACGCAAGCGCCTGGTTACTTTGTTTAGAGGCAGTGATTGGGCTGACACAACCCAGCGAGTTTGGGACAAACAGGGTTCGAGTTCAATTTAGTTTGATTCTAAGAAGTGTTCATGTCTAAGTTAGGGATAAAATGTCAGAGATTAAGGTAAATCTTTATATCAAAACAGTTATGTAATAAATTCATGTCCCTGATAAACAGTAATGGGCGATTTAGTAAAGATAAAGTAGTATGCCAAACAATGACTAATCAGAAGGACAGAAAAATACATTATGTAAGTGAAGTTAAAGTAAAGAACAAAATCTCTTACTTGGTATATTCCACAAACTGGAAAATATATTATAGTATCCGTAACAATCAATAAAAAAAATAATCGTTTTCTTTCAGTGTACGACAAAGAAAACGAATTATTGTTAGTATAACTCATTTCTTTGCGTTCATTTCCATCACCTTTCTTTGATCTTAAAAAGTCAGCTGTCATTTTCAGTTCATTTTATACATGCGTATTATACAGGTACACACAAATACACTCAAGCTCACAATAAAAGAAAAACAATGTACAGAGAGAGAGAGAGAGAGAGAGAGAGAGAGAGAGAGAGAGAGTATGTGTGGAGCAGAACCGAGTTATCCCGGCAAAATATTCCCAAACGTCTGGTTCATAATACATATCTGTCTGTCATCTGGGTATATATTTGAATATTTTTTTCTCATAAAGTCATATACAAATCAGCAATGTTATCACGAGCAAACCCAACAGTAAGTGCTGGTGGTCTTTTGACACTCAACTTCCAGGAAATAATATTAACCTGTAATAAACAAACCCGAAGGTTCAGAGCTAGTGAGCAACATAAAGAAATACGAATAAACTTTTTGATCTTTAAATCTTTTTGCCGGTAGCGCTCGTAAGGATTTTACCTATTGAAAAGTGCAGCAAAAGTACGCCTTGTTTTATTGAGACGTCAGTCAACCTGCTTGTTGGGTAAACAGTTCCTCTGTGTCGTTCCTACGCAAGTAAACAATACAAAATAGCCTAGACGGTGTTGAGTTTAGTACATATACGGTTTGTTACGACCGTATCGTATTTTTTTATTTATTTTTATTTAACATGCTTCCATGTTGTTCCATATTATTCATGTAATGATGTGTTATATTTACTATTATATAATATAGTCACTTTACCCTGTGCTGTTAAGGTTTTAACTGTTATTATTTGTTCAAGCCCATCTTATTTCTTCATTTAGTATTATAACAAGCATTCTTTCTCTCTAACGACCATCTGCATCGTTAAACGACCCACCGGCGGGTTTTTGGTGGGAATTGGCCCTATATATAGTGGTCCACCAACTGACAAAGTTCAGTCCAGTCCTCCTTGTCATTCAGTTCACGTTCTTTTGAGTGACACTTGTCACCTGTTACTTATACTTCATTATATTTCTGTGATTGTTCCTGTCACCACCAATGTGGTATATCTATGTGAGTACCTGTTTATGTCTCTTATGTGTCCATCAGTGCTTGCTTAGTTACATTTAAGTAATTCAGTGTTGTTTCACTTTAGTTAATTTCAGTGTTAGTTTTTATATGTTTATACAGCGTTAACGTTATCCAATGTTTTATTTTTATTCTTTTGATGTTTCGATGTTTAGTGTCACTTGTGTGTTAAAGGTTTCGATAGTGAATCAATTTGTTGTGACAGCCTACGAGGCTCTTTATTGTGTTAATATTTAATTTAATTAAGTTTTTAGGTTTACTTTATTTATTTTTATTCCCTTTTAATTTGTTCACTTTTTTTGTTTGGTTACTCCTAGAACCTGGATATTAAAGTCAATTAAGAGCCGGCGTAACAGGTTCAATATAGATTAACAGTTTTGTGGTGATTTTTTTGTAATGG